ACATAAAAAAAAAAAAAAATTATTATATAAATGAATTTGATCAAGGAATCTACTTATTTTAATTATAAATTTATCAAAATAATCGTAAGGTTTTTTTTTACTATAAGATATTTTTTTAAAATTATTATTTTTTATACACTATCAGTATTATTTTAAAAGAATTTTCATATTCATGAAATATAATTGTATTATTTATTACTGACTAAATCCATTGCTATTTGAGATTTATTGAAAATATGTTTTTTATTTATAGGAGCGGGGTAACTCAGTGGGCAAGCACTGACTTCCAGAGCTTAAGATCCCAGGTTCGAATCCGGCTGATGACTAGTAATTTTTCATCACCCGTGGAACGATCCTGGGGTCAGGATATTTTCCTGGGGCACACCCACCCTCTATATAGTGGGTACTCTTAATTAAATAATTAATCAATCCGTTGGCCTTGTAACAGTACTTCTTCACACAGTACTGAACCCAAGACCCTTAAAGAGTTTTAGTGGCACAGTTTTTTTTTTTTTTTTATTTATACAGGAATTTAAAAGAGCAATCTAAAAAAGGTTGGCCTAGCCCGATTATATAAATGTTAGAGTCAATAATAGACCCGAACCTTCGTGACTAGATTTCCTCCCAGGCGTTCCCGTCCATTTTAATTATCTCAGAGTTGGAAATGCCAGAATCTGTTCCCCTTTATACCGTCCGATTGCTTTTCGGAAAACCTATAGGCATATTGAAAGTCTGATTCATTTTCGATCAACTTGAACATTTATTTAATTGAGGGTTGAGCTATCCCTTATTTTTTCGTTTTATTATCTTTTCAGGAAAAACCATTGTTCTATAGAGGCTAAATCGTAAGTAGTTAAATTTATTTCCAAAATTACAGATAAAATTTTGAAACTTATTTTAATATGGTTTTTCCATCCAGCTTCCTTACTCAGACACAGTCCGGTATCTTGGCTATCATTTACACCGAAGACTAACGTGGAACCCACATACTAGACTCAAAAGACAAGAACTCAACCGACGATACGGCCAGCTATACAGACTACTATACAGAAAATCCAAACTTTCTATTGAAAACAAATTACTTATCTACAACACAATACTGAAACCTATATGGACATACGGACTTGAACTGTGGGGGACAGCAAAAGTTTCTAACATCAGACGTATTCAATCCTTTCAATCTAAAGTCCTTCGAACAATAGTTGATGCTCCGTTCTATGTAACTAACAAAATCCTACACCGTGACCTTAATATCCCATTTGTCCTAGACCTTATTCCAGAAAAATTCTCCAAATTTCACCAGAACCTTACCTATCATCCAAATCCCCTTGCACAATCTCTATCCAGCACCACCCATCCTTACAATCCTCCTCGAAGGTTGAAGCGGCAGTGGCCCAGAGACCTTCTGTGAATAAGCATCTATTGGAGTTTTGGTAATGGCCAGATCCTCCACTCAAGCCCGAGTGTGTATGATTAGGTTAGTTCTTTTGTTTATATACATTTATTTTTATTATTATTAGTTTCTGTATTATTTATTTTTATTATTGTAAATAGAGTTTGAGTGTGCTCTCTGAACACTATTATAAATGTCCTTGATGTGACAGAATGTAATTTTTCTAAATAAACAAATTTTAAAAAAATATGGTTTATTTTGGAGAAGTAGTCTTGAATAAATGATATTCATGAAATGGATATAAGTTTTTTTCCCAGTCGCATCAGATTTAAAAAATATATATTTTTTTTCACTGTTAAAAGGACAAATATATTAATCTGAATTCACAAATTGACAATTGATTTTAACAGTTATTATCTTGTGGCAGAACAATGAACATTCTTTCATTAGTTTTTTTTCCAGATTTTCAGGGAAATACTTCAATATTTATCAAGTTCAAATATATATATATATATATATATATATATATATATATTTTTTTTTTTTTTTTTTTTCTAAAATGAAATATATTTATTATAAAAAGTTTTTATTTTCAAAAATATTTAAATTTTAATTTTGCGTATTAATATAGCCTTATTAATCCAAAATAAGGCTTATTATTGTTTATATCTACGTTGTTATTGGCCTTCATGATGTTGAACTTATTAATAAAGATTTTATCGGTCCATATACATAGAAACTTATTTTTCAACATGTTTTTTATAAGATAGCAATTTTTGTCCTATTCCTTTTGGCAATATTATTTAAGCACATTTAGATATTTCTATACCTTCGTAATTATACTCGCATGCTTAGAAAAATTTAATTTGTAGCAAAGGTATTCGTCACTTTTTGTTTTTTGATAAATGGAATGACCAAAGAACTGATTGACTAAGTGAATAATTTTTAACAATTTTTTTTATTGTATTTATTATTTCTGAATCGATGACAGATTATCCAATCTATCATATGGATCTGATAAACCTTTTAACATGTTTTGAGGCATGAAAATCCTATTCCAATGTAGGAAATGGTGAAACGTTGTACAAGGACTCAAGTTCGGGGATGTTGGTGTATTCATTTATTCCATTTAGCTTTGTGGTTGGAAATATTCATTGAATCGTAAAATTGAATTTGATGAATGACATGTCAAAAAGCGTAGAATAAAAATTATATTTTATATTAAATTTGTTTAAAAAAATACGTCTGTATTTGTTTATTTAATATTTGGGTGCCATCTGCAACTACAGCGGTAAAGGCACCTTATTCATGTTCATATGCAAATATCCAATAAAAACTTTTCTATAAAACATTGTGTTAAGATATGTCTATAAGTATTCTGTGGTTACAACTGCGATAAAGCCAGGATAGAAGAAATTCTTGGACAAAATTTATTTCTTCTATTTCAACAGGAATTTCAATGAATATTGTTTGGAATAACATAAGAGCTATTGAGGATAACTAAATTCCTCGATCGATAATTTAAAATTACAAAATTCTTACGGACTCTAAGGCAATAGCAGTTGGTTTTGGATAGTACTTATCCAAAAACACAACGTCACTTCACCAAATTCAGTGCTCTCTCGATCTTATCCTTGATAGTAAACCCTACAATTTACTTTTCAAAACACGTTTGGATTTGGACAGTTTGGATACATCTTTTTACTTGAAATAAAGCTGAAGAAGTCGACTGCACATCAGTAATATAATCCTAGGCTTTATTAGATTATTTTTTGTATTCATTTGCGTTATTTCGTACATAATACATTTTATTACATCTTTAATGGAATCTGTAAAATAATAAAGAAAAATAATTAAATCTAATTAACGTTTTTTGAAAAATGTTATCAGAGATAAATTGATGATTTTGAAATAAATATTTATGTGTAATATCTTGTTGGATATTTTATGACTAATTCGGTGTAGCATAACATAGGCCAGTAGTGGGATGGAACATAAATAACAGTATTTTTTTTTTTAAATCGGTAACTCATTTATTTTTTTTAAATATATATATTTTTTAAAATTAAATCAGCTATGTGATAAAAAATAAACTAGCTAATGTGGTTAGTTTTTTCATTTATATTCAGAATAGAAGAAAGTCAGTATTTATTTCTTTCTTACAAAAAGTCACCAAGTTCAGTTTTGATGTATGTTAATTTGTAATCTGTTTTTGTGAATTTCGACCTTATCATCCATAATAAAATATCGTAAAGTTCATGAAAATGACTTACGCTCTTTTATTTATCATATATAGTTACACTAAGAGCAAAATTTTCTGATTCAGAAAATTAATCAAAGTTCTTGATTATTTCAGATTATGAAATGTCACTTAATGATTTTTTGTAATTAATCGACTATATAATTGACGAAGGATGTGAAGGAGAGAGAAAAATTTGCATGAAAAATCATTGAGATAGAAAAACGAGTGCAACCGTTGTGAATGTTTTGGTGGAAGGTGGCATGCGCAAAAGTGTAACGCCATTTCATAGACATCTAACCGATGAATCCGGGTTATTCGTGGGCCTGAATGGGTCAACGAAAGGTACCTAGCTTGCCGAAAACCATGGTACTCATGGGAAAACCACATGACCACGGCTGGGTACGAAAATATGGGTCCTCCAGGCTGGATCAATAAGCAGGAAACCGGCGTAGGAAGACATGTCGGCCCTTCGCTCACTGAATATTAAGTTAATTTTCCATTAAAACTTTTGCTATGAATAAATTTCTAGTTGTAATGAACTAAAGAGGAGTTTACAATTAATTTACTTCAAAATCTATGATCTAGAAATCTGATTAATACGACGAGTTATCTTAGTGTAACTTGGAGCTGCCCAAAACATGCGCACCTGCAGTAATAATGTTTTCGATGAGAATTTTTTATCAACATTAAAAAAAATATATATCGAATTTCAGATAAAAAAAGTAATGTGTGATTGAATTTAATAATGCAAGATATCTAAAGAAATTAACTTCAAAAAATTATTCTAATGATATAGACACTACAATACATTTTTTAGTACACACTGACACAGGAAAATGAGGTTATACTTTGAATGTAAGGTATGTATGCGTTTCAAAATGATGACTATTGTTAATTTCAGAAGAACAACTAAGGTGCTACAAGTATCAAAAGATAAAATATTCTCAAAACTAAGCTAAAGGAAATGATGACCTAAATTATACAATTCATGAAATGTTAAAGTTGTTGTTACTAATAAGCATATTATTGTAAATTAAATTGCTCCATAGGTTTTATAATTAATTTAAATATATATGATTACATGAAGTCTAAAGAGGTGCTGGGTCCTTTATGATGAAGAGGATGTATTACTGAACAGACTTGCAGAGGAAAATGGGGACTTGGGGTCGGGAAGATGAAATATATTTATTATACTAAAAAAAAAATTAAATTATTATAACCAGTAATTATTAGGTTATAAATGAAAGATTTCGAAAACAACACAAATTTGTAAAATAAGTTTTTATCTGAATTTAAGTAATTTTGTTTTCATCTGTATTGATGATACCTGGATTAGGTATCAAATGTTGACTTGTCTGTTATTTATTAGTATTTTAGAATTATATATTTGTTTTGAAAATCTTTCAATTGTGTGATAGAGCAGTTATTTTTCTCTTTTCTCGCTATTTGATCGGTACTGACCTGCCATCCTTGGAGGAGCAGACTCCTGTCGACGGTCCTCAGCCACATGACGGCGTCCCCGGCCTGGAAGTCCTTCAGCCGGTAGCACTTGCCGTGGAGGTAGATCCCGAGGCACTTTAGCAGCTCCGAGGTGCTCGCTTGGATGACCGTCTTCTTGGCAGGCAGCGGAGGGGCCGGCTGGAGGATCATAGTCTTGGGAACCAACTTTTCGGAACATGTCGTGTTGTTGTTGGTGTTGTTGGCTCGCACGGCGTCAACGCTAGCCACAGCGGGAATTGAGGTAGTAGTAGCCGACTTCACTATCGGCGGGTAGTAGCACAGCGCTGGCTTTTGTATGTTCTTGTTCTTGTCAACTACTATCGGGTTCATGTTGTCGTTGAGCGGTTGCCTGTACGCGGACGTCACATTCTTGTTTTTGTTCTCCATTTTCTTCTTGGAGTTGTTTGTCGTCGAAAATCTCTTCCATGAGAGGGCGTTTATGAAAAGTGAATGTTTCTTGAGGCTCTTTTCCAGAGCGTTCTTCTCCGAGATGATCCTGGAGTTCTCGTTGTTGGTTCCCTGGGCGGGAGTTACTTTTCCTGCTGCCATAACCTCCCTGTTCTTGGCGTTGTTGAGCTGTTCGTAGGATAAGTTGTTGAGCGTGAAGTCGGAATCGCCCCCAGAATAGGCTGGTCTTCTCTCGCGGGGGCTGAAGCTGAGGACGGTTCCCATGTCGCCTCAGTCTGTCATACTCGCTCTTGGAGAGCCGGGGGTGGACTCGGGTCGATAGCCGCCCCACCCCTCCACGTGCCCCCGCACGTGCGCACAATCCCCTCATTAATAGGAGCAAGGTCGTCACAAACTCCTATTCCGGCTCTTGTTTGTTTGATTTGTTCTCACCTTTCGGCAGGTTCGTCTGCTCTTAGTGTCGACTTTAAACAGCTCCATTGTCAATCATTGGATGAGAGGAGGGTAGTTTATCACAGCCCTTCCAAGGGCGTATGAAGCGTATGAAGATATCTCTCGAACAAATTTCAATATTTCTGTGTATTTGATTGTATATTTTATATGGATTTTAGAAATATCTTGGGGTAAAAAATGAAAAAAGTAAATTAAAAAACTTGAAAGATTTGAGGTGAAAAAAAATATTAAAATTTGAAAAAAAGATTATTTTGACTTTATTTCAATTTAAATCCAAAGATATTATATCTATATATTTTCATAATAATTTTTAGTTGTCCTGCAGATAGTAAATTTCTATTTAAATATTCTTACTTTGTAACTAATGTTCTTCAAAAGAAGTTTCGGTTCTTAACCCATAGATGAACATGAGTATTTTATAAACTTAATTACATTTTCTTCAGAATATAATAATTTCTCTAAATGTAATAATATTTTATTTTCTTTATTTGGACCCAATTAGTAGATCAATTTTTCTAAAAATTTTATTATCACAATATTAATTATTACAATACAGTGATTTATATTTATTATGATGAGATTGACTGTTTAGCAATATTCTGAAGAATAAATATATGTTTAGATGATTAAGAAGAGATGGATGTATTTAAAAAATGTTTTTACTGAGTTTTTGTACAAGTAATTGAAAATAAACCTGGTTACACTTTATACTTCATTTATAAAATATAAATTATAATTATTATTGAAACGTTCGTTTCAGAAACAGAACATGTGTAATTTTTTTCCGGTTTTAAATGAGGGTTTTTTCTTGTTAAATTATTCACAGTCACATTTTTAATGCAAGAAAACACATTACATAAATAGTTCAAACCATGGTTATTTCTGCTATTTATGTTTGTGGACTTTTATATTTGACTTTAGACATTCAATGTAATAACCAATTTAATAACAAACTTGTTACAACCCATATAGGACGTATTAAAATGTCTCAAGAAACTTTTAATATTTCTTTCTTGATGACAGTATATTTTATATGGGTTTTAGAATATCTATGGGTAACAAGCGAAACATGATTTTGAGAAAACTGTTATCTGAGTTTTTTTAAACTATAAACTTATTCTCATGACATATATGGCAAGTTATTAATAATAAAGCTTTTACTTAGTCGAAAAAACCTTTTGAAAGATTTTTGGTAAAGAAAGCTAAAAAATAGATCATTTTGATTTAGTTTGTTTGTTTTAATTGTTACATAATGATATATATTATATTTTACTGTACATTGTAATTTTTTTAATAACTATTTGCTTTAGCGAGGAAATATTAAGAACTCTTTTTATTAAAATTAATTTATTAAATTTCCATCGATAATTGATCTGAAGATGTTCCTGACTTTTTTAGTCATTTTAAAATAAAAAGCATATTTGTTCATCTTCAAATAACGTCAATTATTATATTAATAATTTAAATTGGTTTTTAAATATTTTTAATTTGAAAGTATATTTCTTCAAATTAAGTTAGTGTTTTTTATCTAGATATCCATATAAGTATTTTATAAACTTAAATACAATAGGTAAATGTTATTAATATTAGCTGTTCTTTGATTCGAACCTGAAAAAGGGTGTTTTTTATGAAGGGAATAAATTTTCATTATTATAAATCGAATTTGTTAACTTTTACAATACACTGATTTATATATAATAAGATATACCATAATTAAAATTTATATTTAATATAATGAAATATGCTGTTAAGAAATATTCTTAGAATTAAATTCATTAAATTAATGTGCAGATGTGAAAGAAAAGATTGTATTATTAAAAATAATTTTTTTGAAAGGATTGGTCAAAAATTTTAAATTATTGTGACATAGTTTTAAATTCACATTAACCCTAATTCTCCTTCTAATTATGTAATAACATTTTATAATAAATTCCACCAATATCAAAAATTAATATTTTCATTTTCTCTATTTTGCTGAAAATAAATCATAAATAATTTATTATTTGTATCGGTAGTTTCTTTTACGATTTTCATTGGAAAATATTTTTAAGTAATAGTAATTGGAAAGAATAATGCAAATATGATTAAAAATTCAAAATCAGCAAAACTGGACTAAAATAGTTTGCTTCTGAAATATAAATTTAAAAATCGATGTAATTGAATAAAAAATAAAAACATTTTTTAAGTTTGAAGTATCTTGTAAATTGCTAGTTGTATCGCATAACAACCTCAGCTATAATTAAAATAAATATTTTTTAAAAAGAAATTTTCTCTGTAACACTTCTTAAAGAAGGATTTACTTCATAACTGAAAGTAATTAAAACGTTAAAAAAGTTTAATTATTATTATTAAGTTTTCTCTGATTTCGTGATTTTGGAAATTAAAAGTATCATTTTTTTCTTCTAAATTTGTAAAAATGATTATGAGCGAGCATTTTTAAATTAAACAATAAAAGAAATCTTATTTAAAGGGTTTAAATAGATTTCGAGGAATTCTAATTATTCTAATATTAATCAGTGCTTGATTTTTTTATGAAAACAATATTTTGATGGTTTTATTAATTGTTGCTACAAACTAATCATGTGGCAATTCATGACTTCAGATAATATCTATGCTAATTCTGTTTAACATAGAGTTATTAACAATTAGCAATTAATTGCTCATGGAATCATCATAATGTATGCAATTAATAACAATACAGATTCAAGCTATATTATATCCTCATATTCAATTTCGTATTGTAATAAGGACTAAGGAATCATTTAACATTCGAGGGATTGAAAATCTTTCTTTTAATTATACGCTATTGTTAATACCAGTGATGCGGCTGAGTGAAAGACGCTGGGATCTCCTAGAGTCCAACCTTCCCCCCCCCAGTGAGGCTTGGCTCGGAGACCTTGAGTGAATGAATATTGTAAATATTGTATAAAAGCATGTGTGTATTTAAGTAGTTATTTTGTTAGATTAGTTTATTTTTGTTTTGTTTAGTATCTTTTAGTTTATATACAAATACTTTTAGTATTATTATATTGCTGTTTATTTATTATGCATAGTATGAATGAGCCACTCTTTATAACTATTACTATTGTAATATATATATAGGAAATTTTAGAAATTTCCTAAAACATTATAAGCTAATATAAAAATGCTTAATTCCACAATTCACTAATTTCGTATTTGACTATTCGCCGATTTAATATTATTAATACATAACATAAAAAAAAAAAAAAAAAATTGCGATCTGCAAATTCCTTTGTAATGAGCAAATTTTTTTTGCAGCTTCATAGCGTTCCATTACAATCAAAGAAATAGTTCAGTTCAGCAGGTCCCTTGGCCACCGCCTACGTAATCATCGATGTGGGCTGTACGGGTTTCTATTGCTTTTAAGGTTTTCTGTCAGAGGATTTGTGTTGTAAGTTAGTCTTTAATGAAAGTTGTTGTAGTTGTTTTTTGCTGTGTCTGAAATTGTTGGGATGTTCAAGTCTTTATGTAAGGTGCGTCAACTATTCTTCGTAAAATTTTAGATTGGAAAGACTGGATTTTTTTAATATTAGAAGTTTTAGCAGAACCCCACTGTTCTATGCCATAAGTCCAAATTGGTTTTAGTAAAACTTTATAGAGTGTTAGTTTGTTACTCAAAGATAATTTTGAGCGTCTGTCGACTAACCTAGATAAAAGACCGTATCGTCTGTTTAATTCCATACGTTTTTGTCTAATGTGTGTCCTCCAAGTTAGTCTTTTGTCGAGGTTAAAACCCAAATATTTCCTCGGATGCAGGAATTTCAATGTCATTAAAATATATTTTGGAGGAAGAAGTATGATTAAGAGTGAAAACTACGTACATGCTTTTAAAACATTTATTAAAACATTCACCGATTTAAAAACATTTATAAAATTGAATAAGTACATGATGTATGTACATCCTGAAGATAAACAGTTCATAATTAGGTGTGCTTTCACTTATAAAATGTAACGAATAAAATCCATCGAACAAATCGTTGGTTTATAGCAAAAAGTCAATATGGGTGATAAATATTCAGGACGCAGTCATTATTAATTTTTTTTTTGTGCCGACGTTTCGACCCAAATATGGGGATCATAGTCAGTGCTGAAAATTATAAAATACAATCAGAGATATAATATTATACGACCGATAATGGTAAATAATAGACTATAGTGATTGATGGTACATGAATCTTAACTATTGTTAAAATACACAATATTAAAAATGAAATATGTAAAAAGTTATACAAACTAAATCCTCTCCTGACCCTTTCACTTACCTACCAAATGAAAGCCTTCAGTGCTCGAACCACGGTTAGTAAGAGAAAATATTACAAATTTTTATAAATAGATTATTTACATTATTTTTAGTATTTATAACTTTTTAGATATTTCGTTTTTAATATTGAGTATTGAATTAATAGTTAGGATTCATGTGCCATCAATCACTATAGTTTATTATTTACCATTAACGGTCGTATAATATTATATCTCTGATTGTATTTTAAAATGTTCAGCCTTGAAGATGATGCTTGGGTTGAAACGTCGGCACAAATAAAAAAAAATGTATAATGACTGCGTCCTGAATATTTATCACCCATGATATGTATAACAGTCGACTAACTTCCTTCAATAATTCAAACAGACATTAAATGACTTCGTTGAATTTTTGCTATATAAAATCATAAAATTTTGCATTTGTAACTACATTTAGTAAAAAATAGATTTTGTGTCATTTTTGCGCACTTACAGTTTTTTCAACATTATAGACAAAATTCACAATAAAGTTACTGCATGTTATTAAAAGT